TTGTGTGGCTACCCCATTCTAACGCCCATGAGTTAAAATCTCCTGCTATAATGGCCTTCCGACCCCTAGCATCCTCGGCAAGCGCCGTTGTGAAATCACTGAGCTACATACTGGGGGCCAGCTGACATCTGTAGAGCCATAGGCTACCGTATTGGCCACGTACGAACCCATTAAATGACTTAACATTCGAAAGAACATTAACATTCGTTGTGTTGCCACATACCCGCAACACCGCTTTGCCATTAGCATCTGTTGCCCATGTCCTAGGGCAACTGGTTCTACAGTGGTTATTTTTCCCTTATGGACTGATCTAGAAGATCTTGGGCAGCAACACAATGATTTAATTTAATCTGAAGGAACCTTAACATTTCATTTTACGAGTAGCCTCGCGGTAGGATGGGCACTTGAAGCTGCCTGCCGGATCAGTCTACTTTTCACCTTTCCGGATACAGAGGCTACATTTTGGTGGGTTAGTGCATGCTTTTGCACTGTGGCCCATCTCTCCACACCTGAAACAGGCGCACTTTAGGTCACAGTCGCTGCCGCAGTTTACTGCCATATGACCGTAATCAAGGCACTTGAAACAGCGTTTAGGCTGATCCACGGCGCGGATACGGCATTCAACCCATCCAATTATGATTTTGGACAGCTCGAGCAGAGTTTTGGCTTTTCAAATTGGAAGAGCAACTGTAGCTCTTTGCTGTCCACCAAAAGCCGGTCGAAGCGACTTGATAGCCTCAATGGGGAGTGAGCTATCCTAACTCATCTAGGTTACGATTTACTCAATTTGAGGCCTCGTCTACAGCTTCGTGAAGGGCCTCAGCGCTATGCTCCGGCTTTCTGCTCAGTTGCAACAAAAGGTCCCCCTTAGCTGTCTTCCTAGTGCCTTGAACGTCGCCGCTCAGATGCTTTAAATTTGGGTCGGTCTTGACTACACGGAGCAAGTCCGCATAGCTGCAATCACCCACGCCTGAAATCGCGATTGGGGTCTGGGTCGTTTTTGCATGCGCTTGCGTCCTTTAACGACTGTCCAACTGTTCGGGTTTATCTGTCGACCTGCCTGATTTGAATTTTCAGCTGTAGCCCGTATCAACAAATAACAAATCAACAAATAAGACCAAAAATTATTATTGTTATATTTTTCATAATATATGCAAATTTATTTTTCTTTTTTAAAGTAAATAATAATGTAGAAATTTTTTGAATATTTTGTTTATTTTTTTTATTTACTAAGTCTTTTTATGTTGATCTGTCTTTTCGTGTTTTGATTGTAATATAGTGTTTTTATTTGAGCTGCTTTGATCGGCACGAAACAAACACTCCATGCGATCAGCCTCAAAAAATGAATAGACCACCCGAACATTATTTGTGAAGCCTCCTCCATCCTTCCAAGCACTTACAATTACTATGGGATCACCATCACTAATTAAATCACTTTTCTTAGCACTGGTTAGTGCAAATCTGACGCGTGCATCAACATCAGTAGCGTAATTTTCAGCACAGTCCACCTGATAAAGTAGTGGTAATACACCCCGATGTAAATTAACCCAGCGAGCTGCCCGTTCACATCGAGTAACTGCAAGAACTGGGCAACGTGGTCTAAATTTGCTTAGTAGAGCCGCAGATCGTCCCGATGTTGTAAGTGCAATGATAAGGGTAGCTTTGGTACGTCTGGCTGTTTCAACAGCAGTTATAGCTATTGAATGAGAAGCATCCAATTCTCCCTGTGTTTCATGTACTAAATCCTCAAAAAGGTCCCGATACCAGACAACTTTTTCTGCTTCGCGGCACAATGTATCACAAATTCCAATAGTCTCAATAGGATATAAACCTATAGCAACCTCAGATGACAACATAATGCAATCGACCCCATCAATGACTGCGTTTGCAAGATCGAAACATTCTGCACGAGTAGGAAATGGATTGAAACGCATTGATTCAAGCACATTTGATGCAATTATTACAGGTTTTCCAGCCTTATTACATTGACCCAAAACTGATTTTTGAGTTATGAATAATTTTTCGATTGGGATTTGTGTTCCTAAATCAGCACGACTAAGAAGTAATCCATCCGATGCATTCATTATTTCTGGTACACGACTTAAGGCAATCTTGCTATCCACTTTCGCAATTATTTTAATATGTTTGCCTTTATCACCAAGCACGGAACGTAATTCTCTTATATTCTTAGCACTTCGTACACCCGATGCGAAGACAATGTCTATATTAGATCTTACACTAAACTGTAAGTCATCCATATCCTTTTCAGACACAGCAGGCAAGTCTATCTCCACTTCAGGCAGTATTACATTGCAATTATGGCCCAGCAGTCCTCCTTGAACTACCTCACAAACAAGTCCATCCACACCAACCTCAAGAATAGTTAAAAAAAGTTTTCCATCATCAACAAAAACGCGATCCTCTGGTTTCGCGACATTTATAATATTTGGGTAATCCACGTAAATGGCTTCTTTACTTCCTTTGTCGTAAAGATCGCGGTTAATAGATAAACGTATATTTTCTCCACTACGTAGTAGAATTTCATTTCCACCCTCCAATAATCCGGTTCGAATTTGTGGCCCTCGTGTATCTACAGCAAAAGCTACAGAAACTGTTAGACCAAACTCGTTCTTTATACGTTGAAGACTTTTCTTAACTATTTCAATAGTTTGAGTATGGGATTCATGCGACTCGTGAGAAAAGTTCAAGCGAAATATATTGACACCCTTCATTAACATATTATAAATTGTTTCGATATTACGCGACGCCCGCGATATAGTTGCAACAATAGATACAAGACGCCGCTGGGATGATTGTTTTTTAATATTCAGATCACATATATGGCTTAATTGAGTAGAACCCTTTTTTAAATTATCTTTGGATGACAATGACATAGTGAAAAACGGTAATTCAAATTTTGAACAAATTTGTTTAACTTATAAATTTAAAAAAAAAATTACTTTATCTAATTTTTTTAAATATTGAAATATAATTCAACGAAAGAACTGTTTTTAAAAAAAATTCTTTTGTTGACATTACTCGACCCTTTCGTATACATAGTAAGAAAGCTCTAGACCAGACTGCTCGACTATGAGGCCTCCTGAACCCTTTGGGCTACTAATATTTACATACACACACAGGCATATGCACGTACGAATAAACACGCATTGGCTGCCTTGTTGGCTTACAACGGGAACTTAATTATACCTTGAACCCATTTTCAATGGGAAATGGTTTTGTTAAATGTATGTAACAGGCAGAAGGAGGCGTGGCGGACCACATAAAGTAAATATATATTCTTGATCAGGGTGACGAGCTGAGTCGATTTAGCTCTGTCCGTCCGTTTGTCTGTCAGTATGTCCGTAGGCTTGAACGCATCGATCTCAAGTTAGAGATTTGGTCCGTGTATTGCACGCGTATATCGAGTTTTGTTTCAAATATCGATGACTTGTCCCGTTATTTTGTTATCGATTAAAAACATTATCTTTAAAGCTAGAGTCTCCAACTTTTTTATAATTTCGGTTTTTGTTAAAATTTACCCCTCACCTCTAATTCAGCCCTTCAGTCGCACATATGTAAAGGCGTATTTCAAATACTAGGGACTTGTGCTTTGGAAAACACATCCATATCTATGTGATATTCTTAATCTGAAAGTTTCATGAAGATAGACCATCCAGAAGAAAAATTATTAAGCAATTAACTTTCTATAGTAAGCCAACACTGCAGCCAATGCATGTTTATGCGTGCGTACGTATGTCTGTGTGTGCATATGCGAATAATTATTGAAATATCAGTTGCTTGTAAAAGGCGTATTTATAATCACGATCTGACACTTTTATAAAGATAGTCCATCCACAAGAAAAGTTATTAAACAACAAGTCAAGAGACTGCTCGTGAGCAATATTATGAGAACTTATTTGTTGAATAATTTCTTTTGTAAACATACGATTTTAATGAAAGTTTCATGGTACACACGAGTATGCATGCCAAATTTCAGCTCTCTAGCTCTTAAACCTTCTGAGATCGACGCAGTCATACGGACGGGCGGATGGACGAACGGACAGCTATATCAACTCAGCTCGTCGAGTTAGTCAAGAATATATATGACTCCTTCTGCCCGTTACGTAGTTTTTCACAAAACCATTATACACGGATTTCCCATTTTCAATGGACAAGTCGGAAAGCTATAGTCGAGTGTGCTCGACTACGAAATCCCCTGAACCCTACGAGCAATTGCTATTTCCATAATTTTTCTCGTCTTTCTGCTTACACTAGAAACACGCACACACGCACACACACACACACACACACACACACACACGCATACATACGCATACACACACACACACATACACACAAACATACACACATAAGCACCCTCGCATAAGCACGCATGGGCTGCAGTGTCCGCCACTGTTTAATAACTTTTTGTGGAACTTCAAGATCATAATTATAACCATAATTTGCGTGCACTTGCCAAAGCACTAGTCTCTAGTATTTGAAATACGCCTTTTACAAATATGTGGGTGAGGGGGTAGATATAGGGGTGGTGGGTAAATTTTAACAAAATCCGAAATTGTATAAA